GCAAAGTCTCCAACTTCAAATGATGCAAGCCTTCAGTTTGAAGGCTTGAACTATTCACACATTCTCAATTTCCCCACTGACAAATCTACAATTCTCAAGCTGAACTGGACAAGACCAACTCCCCACTACTAAAACAAAGGACAACTTATTTCCCATCTTAGACTGAAGCTCCTACAAACTAGGTGAAATGGAAGCAAACCATCCCATTTCACCTGTGCTACCTCAGGCAGCAACGCTGAAACTTTGCAAAGTTGCAACAGCCTTACGATTACTAGCAAAGTCTAAACCGATGGATCAGATCTGGTTTGTGCCGGATCATTTCAGAGACTCTCATCAGGAATCAACGAAACAAGCAAGGGTTTCCTCCTCTGTCTAAGCCCCCTGACCGTAGCTGGTTTCCTTTCAACCATCAGGCAGGCCCAGGACGGTCCTTGCGGCCTTGTGCGAGTCCCCGGTCGAAGCCGTGGGGGGAGGAGTTGCCGCTCAATGCTCCGAGCCAGCCCATCCCAACATCAGGAATTGATCCACCCCAAATCAGCCGAACACAAAGGCTTTCTTGGCGGAACTATCACGCTCCGCGAACTGAAGCGGTTGCCATAGCTAGGAAAGCTGAAGCTGGGCAACACGATTCCCTTCGGCCCTGGATATGACCAGCTGGCCGGCTGTGCCAGGATCTTTTCTTACAAGGGTGAAGCTGTGGAGCCATCAAGCGGCGTAGATGCAAGCTGGGCAGTTCATGGACATGGGGCAGTAACTGATTTAGTAAGCAAGTAAGAGATAGGGAACCATGGCCATGACCCAAAGGAGCACGACTACCTTGTTCATAATCCTTGTTGATAGGTATGTTTCAACAAGCCTGCACCCCGCATATCTGAATCACTGAAGGGGCAGGCACAGTCTAGGAATGTGCTGCTATCTGTTCCTTTAGGAGCTCAGCAGTCACACCAGCCATGTTTCTCCAGCCGACAGGTTTGGGCTGAGATTTGAAGCGACTTCCGTCCTTTCCCTTCCAGAAGAATTGCTTGCGCTTTCAGCTTTGCACTTAGGTGTGGCGAAAGCCGAGCAAAGACGTTCAAGCACTCAACATACCTTGCATGTTGTTCTCGGCTTCGCACAGACGCTGGATGCATGGATACATGTTGATCCCAACAGCAGCCAGAAGCCGCTGGCCGTGGAAGCTGTGATCTGTCCAGGCAGCTGTGACAGAGGTCACCCTGTGGCAGAGCAGATGAGTCGCCCAGTTGTGAAACACGAGGCCCTGACGCTCAGGCTCCCGCCAGTGGGCCGAGCCAACTACAGTGACCCCAGCTGTGACAGATCAGACTCATGGAACGCCTAGACTGAGGTGAGGTACTTTATGGCTTTTTCAGCCACGCAAGACAAGCTGACCAGTGCTGAGGCTCTGAGATGAGTGAGGAGATCCAGGTCGGGATTGGATCTTCCGATGGGTTCCTGACGCTTCCAAAGGAGAGAAAAGACAGGCATCTAGCCACCCTTGTTGAATGCCATCGGCAATACACAGATAAGTGGGAATGCGGGGGAGGCTGCACAACAGGAGGTTTCAGAACGACATAATGCTCTCCGCTTTAAGAATCAAGGTTCTGTCGGTCTTAGGTTTTCCAGCTGTCAAGCAGAAGTGTCCAACACATGTTTGCGCCATCTCAAGCGCCTTGCTTTGCCATCATTGAAGAGCTTCTCGCAACATGTTGTACGCCAATGCATTGCAGTGCGATACAACTGCCGGCCCCTTTCTCATGGTATCTTGTTCACCCTTTGACTCCCTTCATTGTTCATCGAAAAGCAAAGCTGAAAGTCGTTTTAAGCTCAGAACACACCAATATCATTTGTCTAGGACTTCATTAACTGCCAGCAGATGGCAGGCTAGCAGCCACTAGCGGGCTTGGCGGTAGAGCACATGAGCAACATTCAAAACTAGGCACTGATGTGCTCTACTGTTGTAAGAGGATAATGTTGGGTACCTTCATACCATTTGGACTACAGAATGTTGGACGCTGAGCAACTCCCAATATCATTGAAACACAAAAGCTGCCGGGTTTCATCCTTAGCCCAGCTGTCGCATGTCACATGTTGGAGCCACATGTCACTACAGGCTTTTGCCTGGTTTTGCAGAGCGCGCAACGGAATCATGTTGCGGTCGTGCCAGCCTGCTGCGCCCTTAGGCAGCTTGCATTGGGGGAAAAAAAACAACGAAAGCGCGTAGGTGCTGCTGGCGCGGGTACGCGGTGCACTGCTGCGACGGCCCCGAGCTGGCAACTGGGTGCAGGCCGACCGATGGGACGCGAATGCGGCGAATATGGCGAAGTTTGGGTGCGTGCGTTTGTGGGTGTGTCTGTGTGTCTGTGTGTGGGTGTGTGTGTGTGTGTGTTCATGTTTTACTTTGCAAAGGGCAGCTTTCTTCCCAAAGCGCAACGCGCAGGCGAAATTTTCACCTTGCCAGGCCTTCGCTCGGCACGACACCACTGGCCTGGGCGAGCTCAGCCGGGGGGCCCGCGCAACTGACCGGGTCCGGACGCGACTTTGGCCGAGTAGTTTCCATGTGCGTTAGGAGAGGGGGCCCAGAGCAATTAAATCTAAAGTGTTGGCGATGTTGGATCGATGTTTGAAGGTAAGGGACGGCCCGTTTCCGACCGAGGTGTGCCACTGTGCAGAAATTGATGGCAGCAACAGCTTGTGATGTTGCCGGCACATAATTCCCACCGGCGGGTAATTAGAAACCGGATACCATGGACTGGCCACCGAATTGGTGACCGCACGTTCGCAGGCCCAGCTGCTTCAATCTGTCAAGGCCCAGAGGCTGCAGATTCCAGCCTACTTGTTTGCTCGTCCGCAAATCACATTTGCAGTGTTTGGCCTGCGATATTTTTTCAATTCAGCATGCCCACATACTGATCATATTGTTTCAAACACATAGTTGCGACCGTCCTTGCATAAGCTTCGCTGGTGACGCATTTCAGTTGCTTTTGGGAACCCGTCCGGTTGCTTGGCTAAGGCCCAGACCACTTTGTGAGCTTCCTGCAGTCGCTCTCCGTAGGCCTAAGCCACCGGGAGGCGCGAATGCGTCATGTTTCAAGGATGCCTTACAGGATACATTTGTGGCCCAGTGAGATCTTCCTTTTGTAGAGGCAGGTGGTTTGGGATGCATCCTCTAAGGAACCACGTGTTTCATTCCTGGACTTAACTCACGTGTTTGGCTGTTTTGCACATTCGGATTCTCTCAGCTGTTTCCTTTTAACCAGACGCATGCTTTTGGGGTCTCAGCCTGTTGGCTACAACATGGAAGCATGTTTGAGCAGAGCTTAGGTCCAGTGTATGCATTTGTTACCAATGCTTGCAACAGAATCGACGCATTCGAGCAAGAGGATTGCAAACAAATGCCTTTGGAGTTCAGATGTCATTCAAACCTACAAGCGAGTCCCAGCTGGCTTTGCCAGCTTCGTGGCCAACATTCTCAGAGCAAAACTGATCAAAGCCCTCCAAACGATGTGCAAGCCTCTTGTTTAAGTAGGCGCAGACCTATACACCTCAAAGTGACGACAACTCAAGACCGAAGGAGCCATGCAACCTGCCGCAAAGAAAGAAACCACATGGCACACTCAGCAGGCCGAAGTGGACCAGCATAGGTGTCCTTTTTGGTTGTTTTGCTTTAAAGAAAGAAGGCCCTGGTTTACCTGATGGTTCAATCATCTACCAGGGCCATTTATTTTCCAAAAAGGACACCCATGTGGACCAGTCTTTGCGACCTCGTGGCATCCTTCGCTTCGCTGCTAATCAGCTCAAGTCGGTGCCGGTGGCCCGCAAGGTGCAGGCAGGGTTTGGGCGAAAAGGGGCCGATGCTTGGGCAATGCCGACTCCGGCAGGTTTTTTTTTTTTGCCACCTTTTGCGAGACAAGTGGCGACCTCAAAATGGAATCCTTCACTACGGGGTCGATCATTTCTCCACGACAGCTGGCGAAAAGACCCCCTTGGACTCCGGATGTACGATCCGGATAGGAGGTGCAGGTGTGAAGAATTGCCCCCCTTTGGGTTGAATTAAAGAATCCTGGGAGTTTCCAGTGGGCATCAACGACAAGGGTTTGTGATCAACGGTTTCATGGTGCTTGCCCGCACATGTACTTCCCGCATTCCTTAGTCGAGCTCAAGGAACAACTAGGAAGCAACTGCTTGGGATGCCAGGCATATGTTTGCAGAGGCTGCCGAGAATGTCAAACACCGCTTTGCACTCGGCTAGGCAGATGTCAGGGTGGCAATGGAATATCATGTCATCAGTTTTGGTCTGGGACACGAACAATCAAGGCACAAGCCTTTCCTCATGAACCGTTTCCGCACTAGTAGACGTGCAGATAGCTAAGTTAGGGTGTACTTTTCAGATGGGCAGTTCATGGCCAGCTAGTTAAAGATCTGAGTTTTGTTCCGCGCTTGGTGGAAATCAACACTGTTTGCCTGTTCGGGGCAGAACAGCGGCGTTCTGGGGTCAGTCGGGCTGCAGGTGAGCCCGTTTGGGACGACGTGCCGTTTCACTGGGATTTTTTGTTTTTGCTGCCACCAGATGGGGATGATGGCATGGCGCATGGCGCAAATAAGAACTTGCTACTTGGAAACAAACCTCCCTGAACAGGTATGGACCTTCACAGACCCCGTTTCCAAGAAGCAGGCAGTTGTTCAAAGCGAGTTTGCGCATTTCCATGTTTGTTGGTGGTAAGGTAACGTATTGACGGCTTTTGCAATTTCGGAAGCATGTTTCAAGGGCAGCTGACTACCTGAATCGCATGCTGGTGATCTTGTAGCACACATGAACAGCTGACTGCTTGGCCTGTCATGCATCTATTATACCGACGGACTCACACATCGAGGCGATTTTTGGAAACGAATCTCGGCTCCAAACACCTGCATGGCCTCCTTGCATGCTTTCTTGCCTGGCTTTGTCTGCCTGCGCGCTTGGTTCTTTCCCCCTCACCGGCGCGAAAAAGAAAAAGAAGGCCATGCTTGCCGCCGACAAGCTTCTGCTCACGAGCACCATCCGGAAGAATGCCACGGAGCTGAAGGGCAAAGAGCTGTCCCTTCACAAGGCGCCAGTCGGAGCGAGGGTTGGGCTGTCGGAGCGTAGGAGCAGCTCATAGCCTTTTGAAGGGTGTCCCGGGTTTGCAAGGTTGCTTTTTTTCCAAGCCGTGCCCTGACAGGGGGGGGCCTGTTTGAGGATTTGTGGCTTTCAGGCCAAGATCCAAAGTTGCCGTTGGTTGGGATCAGCAAAGCCTTCTTACCGCAATAAGTTCGGCAAAATGTACCAGTGGTCAAAACGCAGACAGTGCTGCTTTTGGGCTGTTGAAGCTGACCTTGTAGTTCAGAGCTCAAGTCAGTGAACAATTGAGTCCCCTCAGCTGACAAACAAAATCAAGGCCTTGACGCTGCCCTTGTTTTCACACAAAGGCCATGTTCAACCTGGCGTTTTCAGGATCCAGAAGCCGCTCCACGTTTCTGAAGGCGAGTTTTACTGACTTGCTTGATTTCCAAGTCTGAAGTCCAAGCATCCACTCTCACAGGCTAGGTGGAGAAGCTCGAGGAATCAGTATCAAATTGCAAGTACTACAATGGCTGAACCCATCACCCACTCCTCCTACAGGTCGATAAGGTCCAGAAAAAGATGGGCCTCAAAGCCCTGCCCCCATACTATCTCGATCCTCTACCGATCCTCTCCAGTCCTCCCTCTGGCCAATAGGACGGTAGGAATGCTCCCGAGGGTGCCAGGATTAGGGACTGTTCTTGCAGTGGAAGGGTACCCTTGAAAGCTGGTAAGACGGAAGTTGCGGTTTCCTGCTAGATGCAAGGTTGGTTGGGGAAAAGCAACCGTTAAAACTATGAAGGGAACTAGGGTTCATAGACGTATTAGCAACAACTTGGCCATTGTGTTGTGGTTTTCATTTTTTGTTTTTGGGGCCAATGGGGACCGTCTTTGTTAAAGGGGAGTTCATGGGTGGCAAAAATGGATTACGCAGTTTTGTCCACACCTTGTGGACCCTTTTCAATACGGTAGCATTAGCCAGCTTTCGTCAAGGGGGATGAGGACAGTCTTTCTAAAGGGGGATTTATTCATCAATGGTCAACATTAGCTTGTGCCTGCCTTGGGGGCTGTCGTTCTCAGCAAACCCTCGCTACCTTTGTGCCATTTGTATTCTGATTAGATTCTAAGGAGATGTTGCCGTGACATTCCAGCCAATGCCTGTCTGACATGCAGCTGGATGGCAACACCTATGGAAAGTCCACAAGCGACGCATGTGGAGGCTCTCCGAACAAGAAGGATCAGACAGAATTGCAGCAAGTACTTGTAGGACAGCTTGACGCAATTGAGCAATTGTTTGCTTGGCACAGACAGATTTGGCAGGATGCGTGGTGACATGGCCCACCGCTGACAAAATTTACCAGGGACTCTTCTCGAATAGCACCACATCGCAACCCAGCAGCGATATGGCTGCCTCACCTGGGACTGTGCCAAGGGCTCCATCCAAGTTGAGCATGTTCTGTTCAGTTCCCTTAGAACATGTATTGCACCACTGTTGCCAAAATGTGGGACATCCCCATTCCATGAACACACCACTGTTGCCAAAATGTGGGACATCCCCGTTCCATGAACACGGAGAGTGCATTTTGCTGCCAAGAAACAAAGAAGATAGTGCTCAAAAAAGAAGATGGCTGCCACAGTGACCCTAAGTGTCCACCACGACCCCCCATCCTGACACCGGTGGTGAATGCCAGGGCAACTTCGATGCGGTGGGTACGCAGGCAGCGGTGCTTGCTGGCTTTGCAGATCCTCGGCACGATCAGCCAAGTCCGGGATTGCAGTTTGTGTTGCTTTCTCCGTGCCAGGCAGACAAAAGATACGGTTTTAGTACGTGCCATAGTTAAATGACTTGCCGAATGGGAGTGGCACGCTTTTGGGGTTGTTTAATATGATGCGGAGATGTTGGCGACCATTGCGAGAGATTTTACGAGAGCCGCAACCATGACCTCAGATTTAGATCGTTGTGTGCAGCAGGCTCCCCTTTGTTTTTTGGTAAAGAGGACTCATGTAGCCACTTGAGCAAAAACCATTCTATGTGGATAGTCACCAGTTGCAACCTGCACTGAATCTGAGCTCCGAGGTTGTCATGGTGGTTGAATTCCACATGCCGGAGACGGCACATTTTGCGCTCCAGGGCATCTTCTACATTTTCGCAGTCACCACGCTGCCCGGTTGCAAATGCCCCATGTCTTGTTGGTCAACATGATTCAACTTGTATCCTTGTAACTGTCAGCTTAGACTCCTAAATGAATACCAATTGAAAGCCAGACACTGAAAGCATGATTTTGGGGTGCAGAGCAGGCTATGCTGCATGGTCCCAGCGCATGCCGCATACCTTTTGTGCGCCGAGGCTGGTTGCCAATCTGAGATGTGCGCGCTCCCTAGTATTCAGTTGCTGCGCTTGGACCGTACCTGATGCATGCGATTGAGTCTGCAGCACACACGTTTCGAAGACATGTAGACTTCGCAGGATCATCCATCAAATAAGTTTGATGAGTAGGGCAAATTTTGATATTTGTTTTGTCATACGCGGCAGCCATGCTTCAAGTGCCAAGCCCTTGTGCTGTCGCTTTTCAAAAGGAAACCAAGATAGACCGTCCCCTCCATGAGAGTCGTACTTTGGGAGCCTTGCCCCACCCGGTTTACATCACAGGACTGCCTACACTTCTTTGTAGATGTGTCACCTAACGGCACAACACTCTTTTTTAAAGAGCACCGTTACACAATTCATCACATGAACAATACATAGTTTGCACATTTGTTGTTTGCTTTAAAAACGAAGCCAGGAGTATTATAAGTCACCTTTAATCTGGTTGCTTCAAGCCTCTAAAACATGATCAACCCACAGAAGAAGATGTCCGTGCAAATTATGACGACGTCACTGGAGGGCGTTGCGACATGGGCCAAAGTCAAGCTTGCTTCTTGGGCGTCAATCTCTGTTTTTTGGTTTGTTGACTTACCATTTTGCCCACACTCCTATAATTTCCCGTACATGTTGAATGTTCTTTGGTCCAAATGTCTACACCCCGTCAAAAAAAAGAAAAAGAGAGCACTCCTTAGGTGGCCATGACCACATGCATCACGGTTATGGGCACCGGCCTTGCACTTCGTGGTCCAGACGGCTCCATGGTGCGAGCGGTGGAAGGCGCGAAAACTCGCCGTTGGAAGGGGGTCTGTAGGCTTCTAGGCTGTCCGGGTTTGGGTTTCTTCTGATATGCGCTGTCCACGGTGTTTCACTCAAACGCAGTGCTTACGGTGTTTGGGGTAATGTAGTTTGACCGAAGTAAACCTTGACTCACTTGACTCAGGACTGCGTGTGGCGTGTGAACTAAAATTGCAGGGCTCTGTTGTTTCCAGAGAATGTGCTTTCCGAGGATGTGTTCGATCCAGCCTCCCCATGTCAGGCAATAATCTATGTGAGACTTATGCCATAGAGTGATGACACAACGCCACCCTCCACTCACATGAAGTGTCATCATATATGCGATACCGCTAGCTCAGGATGAGATTTCTGCCAAAATCAGAACTACAATCTCTTCCGCTGGAATTCAAAGGGACAAGCCGTGCAAGGCAAGCGCCGGTGGATGTTCCAAGAACACCCCGAAGGTTCAAGGAACAAGCGGTTTGACTCTCAAATCTTTCTCGATGCCAAAACGGCTTGACTCATTTCAGAAAACTCATCCGCTTACACCATCCCCGATAGGCTAGACAATTCAAGTCAAATGGGGTTTCCTACAGAATTGCATGCCGTTTGGCCTTGCTAGGAAGTCTTTCACAGCCAATTACTGGCAATTCGGACCAGACACTCAACAACCATCTTTTAGCAGCCATCAAGACTGAGACACCCCGTTTTATATCATGTCGCATCAATAATATTTTAAACAATCAGGGCGCCGGGAAAAGAACACCGAAATGACGGGCAGCAGTTGATTACAAGCATCCGACAAGTACCACTTAAAACTAAACAAGGTGAAACACTCAAGGCAAGAGGCCACAAGCCAGCTTGCTCTCAATACCTTTGGTTTGCATTGTCAATGCTCAATTCGCGGTTCATAGCCTAGCCGGACCGTGCTGGACAAATCGTTGGCGAAATGTTTGAGATTGATCGGTGGACAAAGATTAAGACGCCAGTTTTAGTTTTTTTTTCCCGGCTTGTGCCCGGTGCCGTAGCTCGCAGGGATGTACAAGCAGCGGGCCATTGTCTTTAGGCATGGAGCCGCACTTGTCGCGGATGTTTGGGGGCCGGTGGTCGGGTGACACAAGATTGCAAAGCAGGGAAGTGGAAGGCCTTTCCGAGCATTTCATTGTTGAGTTCAGGTGGCTTGTTCTCTTTCCTCTAGCCAAGACGAATCACATATCAAGTTCAACCTTCTTAAACAAGTAGAGTTTTTTGGTTTCTTCAAAAGAGGCGGTTTAACATTGGGGGGAACACCCAAGGTCCGCAAAGGCACTTGTGTGTACGTTCTGTGCCGCGAAGCCTTTCGCGTTGCCCAGTAGCATGGACACAGGCTAAGCCACTTCGTGGGGAAGTGTGTTACGGTAGTAGCATGGCAAAGGTTGATGTTTAGAGTCAATCTTGTGATAGGCCCCTGGTTTAAGTGGCCAAATTGGGTTAGTGCAAAGGCTGCTAAACTTAGCACCTTGCTTAGGCTACTGGGACTTGCAACTCGCAAATGTATGAAAAATGTCGGATCGCTTGCGCTGTGCCTGCGGGCAGCGAAAGCTCTGCAGAACCAATAGCATTGTTTCCCGTGTTCAATTTTCTCAAGAAGACTATGGGGAAACCTCAGGAAGATTATGGGGAGACTATCGCAAGACTATGGGAAGACAATAGAAAGACTACCCGAAGGCAATGAAAAGACTACGGGAAGACAATGGGAAGACTACCGGAAGACAATGGAAAGACTACGGAAGACAATGGGAAGACTACGGATGCATGAAAACTGCCTGAAGAACGGAAGACTATGGCAAAGACTGTAGGAAGCCTACGGGGAGATTATTGGAAGACTACTGTGCGTTTCAGACACGGCTTTCTAGACCCCGATGGGCCGTTTTCGCGAAGCCTCCGCCTGCCAGAGCCTTTTCCGCATGGCACGGCCACGCTGCCTCGAAGCAACCCCGTCAGCCCACGGGAGCCTTGCGTCATCACCCCCTTTCGCATAGGTTCAGCTTGATTCAACTTTATAAATGAGTCCCCACACATGAGATGTTTGTGGGACAACCGTCCGCGAGCCCGTCGAAGGCACTCCGCGAAGCCACTGGTTTGCCACGAAGCCTCGCGAAGCCAACCCTTCTTCGAATTCTGGCCCCGCCAAGCCCACGGCATAGCCTCCCCAGCAGCATACGTAAGCCGCAAACCTCTAAGCAAAACACTGCTTAAATGTGCGGCAAGCTCGGCCTTGTCAAGGGTTCTGACATGTTCAGGACAAACAGAAGGTTGTTGCAACCAGTGCTATCAGGATGGCCTTTCCTTTAGGCGTCTCAATGACTTGTGTAATCTATTCTGGCTGTAAGACTTTTTTTGGATAAGGGATTAGGCAAACTTTACCTTTGACTATGGGCACTGTGTGCCTGGGAGCACTCTGACACAGTTGGCGCATAATTCTCTTGGTGGTCTTAGCCTGGTGAAAGTCAAAGCGCACAGATTTGAAGCTGCTCAGTCCTCGGCCTTCGAAAGCTGGACCGTCTTTCACAATAATGTGGTTGATAGCGCTGCCAAAAACTGTTTGCAGATAGAAGCAGCAGCCATACTTAGACGCCTTAAGCAAGCTGAAAGCAGGCAAAACCGCTTCCGAAAACATTTCGCAGCTTATCATGACTTCATAGTCCAGTCTGTGAACAATTATTTCCATGATCTTTCCTGGGCTGATACCCTCAGCTGGGCGCTTGAACATGAGATAGGTGATACTTCTTGCTGCGAATTGTATGCTGCATTGGTCCTTGAGACAAGAACTGCACCTGTGACAGTGCCTGTGAAGGACGCAAAAGGCAAGAACCGTTTTCGCTGGACCCTTAGGGACCAATCCCTTGAGGCTGACTCCATATGTACAGGTTTTAGCCAGCGTGCGCATGCCTTTATCCACGCCAAAAAGTGGGCACGGAAACAGGACATTCATGTCTTTCCCCTCCCGCTGCAGCCGGGGGTCACAATGTGCACAAACCGCACGGCATTTTTCGCAAGGGCTAGTTTCACATCTGATTTGTCAGCAGCCGCCATGTTGCTAGACCGTTTTGCCCACAACGGGCGGTACTTGAACTTCGCGTTGCATCCTTGGTGCCCTCTTTCCGTTATGTCGTGTTGCACGCATAGGCTGGCACCCATCAGCAACAAGAGACAAAGACAAAGACATGCTTTCTCCGCTCTCTCTCTGTCTCTCTCTCCGTATCCTTCTTTGTCTCTCTCTCTCTCGATCAGGACGGGCTTGAGTTCCGTTTTGGCAAAATTATGAACCATTCAGCAGGCTCCCGTGTTAACGACTCCTGCGGCTAAAGCTGACGCGTGCAAGCAAAAAACACAAAGACCCGGGCAGTCAACGTGAAGAGGCAAGATGGATGAGTGTCACCTTCCGAACTGTTTCAATTGGCGCCTGGCACGGACTGATTTGCTTCCACTTTGCGCAATACATACTCCTGCATACACAGGAACATTCATCACGTAGAGCCTGTTGCCTCGCTGACTGATCGGATGCTGTCGGATGCAGCACACGAACTTGAGTGTGCAATTCATCGCCTACGTTGCACAAGTTATTTTCCAAGCAAGTAGATCCGGGTGTGCGAACAGGTCTGAACATGTTCAGGTTCTGGCTGTTGGACACTCTTGCCAGACGAGCTTTTTTGTCAGCATACATGGGTTCCGACCCGCTCTTTCTGGCCAACGTGTGACCGACTTAGCACTTGGAATACCACTAATAATTCATACACGCACGTCGCTCTAACATTCTGCCCACAAACCTCTCTGGGGCCAAGCAATGTGCATCTCAGTATTGGTGGGGACAACGAATATGTGCGGATATCCGCCCCTTTTGATTCCTCATAATTGGTTTTTCGATGTTTGGCCAATTGTGTATGTCCAGGTTAGTATCAGTGGTGGGGACGAGACAAGCCGCTGATTGGGAGGGCTTTGTTCACGCAGGTCCTTCGGCGCTGGCATTGTGTCCTGCTGCTTGAGTGTGGCCGTGATCGCTTGGATCAAGCGCCTCAGCATGACTTTTCGTCATAGCCAGTTGGACCCCTCCATGGTCGTTGTTGGGAAACATGTTACATGTTTGTTTATTATGGCTTAGTGGAAAATCTCCACTTAACTGCTAAAAAAATGTTTTTGCTCCCCTTCCAACGTCAACCAAGCCTCTCCCCTTTTGTGGCTGTTTCGCAGGGGCACGCGCATGAACGCCGGCATGGAGAGTCCCTAATCGGACACGCACGCGCCCGTTTCCTCCAGGCTTCCTAAACGCGATGAGGTATATGAAGGTTCTGCTTGTGGACACTTGAGATGTGTGGTTCGTTTTCTTTTGATACCCCGGTGCAGGGATTGTTCAAAGATTCTACCTGCACTGTGGGCGCATTAAAATCACCGCGCAGTAGAGAGGTGAGGGGAGTTGTGACATTATATATTCAGCTATACTTTGGAGGTATGTATATTGATGCTGTTGTGTGCAAGTCGTTCTCTCGACACCTTATGATGTCTGCCGCATTCTGCATTCAATTACACAGGATATACAAGCATATATGGCAAACAGCACAGCTCATTCGTTCGAGTATGTTGTGCTTTCAATTGTGCCAGTGTATGCATTAGTTGGTCACGAACTGCAACATACGCACAATTATCAAATCAGCAAACAGCAGCTTCAAAGACAAACACAAAAACGGACACACACACACACACACAAGGGACCTTTGGTTGTCCGGGGCGGCTCAGCACAAACGGTCACGCAGAGCCACGGAGCAGTCCACTCCTGTTAATTACCTCAAGGGCAACGGACCTGAAGGTTCCTGAAGCCCGGAATCCTTGGGGCTGCTTTGGTGGAGGTTGGTCAAAATGTTTGAGTCAACCATTGAGCTGTGACAGCGCCATGGGCCCCTTGTTTGTGGTTCTCCCGCTTCCTGCTGCCCTGTTCCTTGTTCCTTGCAGATGGCAAAAGGACACACTATATTTCTTCTGCCCGCTGACTCTCCATGTTTGCCGTTACCCTTGCACTGGTGCGTTTTCTTTGGTGCGACTGCATCCGACCACCAGCGGCAATTCAGAAATTGAGAAAGATCAAACAGCAACAAGAACAAGAGCAGTAACAAGAACAAGAACAACCACGCCTCCACCGCCACCACCACCACATCCCCGATCCCCACCCGACCGCGCCCCCCCCCCGCTTCCCCACCCCCACCCTCACCACCGCCGGCGTTATTGACGCTGCCCCAACCACCTTTACCTTCACCACCACCACCGCCACCACCATCACCACTACACACGCAGTGACAAACTGACCCATTTACATCAACGGGAGCCTATACTGTTCAGTGATTCTTGCCATCATGTGATCAGCGCAATGCCACAATGCCATGAATTGACGAGATACCGCTCCAAAATCTGAGGCTGATCAGCTTGTCACAGCTGTCAAACACGATGTGTTTTGCGTACCAGGATGGACATCATCCCGGCATTCATTTGCACTGGAGCTATTGCATGGACCTTGTTCTCCATGGCGACTCGTTTGCATGGCGGGCCTGGACCCCAGCGAAACCACTTCCAGGCATGACTCGAAGGGCTTGTGAAGCGGGCAGTATGCTTGCATGGTGATGATATGGACCGCCAGCTGGCTTCAAGGAAGATCATCAGTTACTTCAGATGGTTGTGTGTGTGTGGGTGCGTGCGTGCGTGCGTGCGTGTGTGCGTGCGTGGTGGCTGGGTGGCTGGGTGGCTGGGTGGGTGGGCGGGCGTAGGTGTGTGTGTGTGTGTGCGCACGTGTGTGCGTGTGCGTTTGCGTGTAGGTGTTTGCGGTTGTGTACCTTCCACATTGTTAGAGACTCAGCGTGCCCGTGTATCTCATGAATTAGACATTAGTGTAATTAAGCAGGATGTTTGCTAAACCGTGCTTTGGGTTGCTTTGGGTAGTCTGATTGAAATGTAAGCAAATGGTGTTCGGTGCTTTGTGTTGGCAGTAGGCGAGGCATGCTGTTGATTGCGAGCATGCACCAGCACTTTGGTCCTGTCTTGCAGCCCTGGCTCATTCTCACCTCAGTAAGTGTTTTGCCATGTTCGGAAAACTGCTTGGCATGTGCTTATTGCACATGCTATTCGATGCTTGACGCTCAAGCTACCCTTTGTCACAAAATGGCATCATCGCAGCCGGCCAGTTTGTTTGACGTGATGCAATAGGCATGTCGAGGCGTGTATGCATACACTATCTTGTGTTCATATATAAAGCCCCTTCCAAAATTTGGTCACTAGATCCGGAAGTCACATGGTGCTACATCAGGATCTGGCGATGCGCCTTGCTACTTGGTGCTATACAACAGCTTTAATAATTGAAGTGATTGGCCAGGATGTGATCTCAGGCTAAGGAGGGGTGCCATGCGCCATACTTCTCCTTCTTGTATGTCAACATATGTCATACTGTGGATGGACAAAATCCTGCGCCACCCAAGACACCATGGGAAATCATTGTTTGTTGGTATTTACAGGGGATCATATCATTCTAGGGTTTCTTAGGTGGTACGAAATGGATTTCGTCCATCCACAGTAGCGGCAGCCACTGGACCATTGCCATCGTTTGGCCATCTTCCCAGGCTATCCAACAGGCGGTTGCTACCGTGGTCAGACCTGGATGATTGTGCTCCGTTTACTTAACTGTTGCTGTGTGCAAGCATGGTGGTCAACAAGCACCCTCGGGTGAGCCAGATGAGCCAGATGAGACAGATGCGACCGCCGCTGTGTTGAAAAGATCGATTCAGGCCTGGCAAACTGCCAGCATGGGAGGTTGTACACCCTTTGTCCTCTGCAGAAAGTAGCGTGCGGGGTCGGACTGGTCAACTTCAATTGCTGACAGGATAGGTTGGCTTTGTGACATTCAATCGTTTGACATGCGGTCTGACCCCGCCAAATTTGGAAGGGGAAGGTTCAGAAAAGACTTGGCCGCCTGCCAGTCAGGTACTGTGCCATGTTTGATGGTACTCGCAAGTTACAGCCCGGTTCTGCCTCACGACTCCATCTTGCATACGTCCAGGCGAAATACACCAGATTCTATTTGGAGTTCTTCAAGTTCAATGAGGATGAGGCGCTCCTCTTAATGGTGCGATGTGTTATGGCCTGTCTCATGCAACGACACCACTTTCGTTGTGGCTTGGCCCCGCTCGTGTGTGCTCCGAGTGAAGAAAGGGATTCATGACACAGACTTGTAAAGGCCACCTTGCTCGCACATGAGAGTTTGAGATAGCGTGGGTTCAGTATTTCGTTGTTGTTTCTTCACTGGCTTTTGTTGCGCTTAGTGATTGTTAATGTGGTGTGCTGTTTGTTTTTGCTTCGTTTTGTGTTTTGTTCTTGTATTTGCTTCTGTGCATTTATTTGTTTGCTTGCTGCATGCTTGCTTGTTTGCCCGTCTGTTTGCTTGCTTGCTTGGTTTGGTTTAGATTATCAATTCGCATTTGTTGTATACATGTTGTGTCCACTACAAGAAAAGGTCTCTCTCCACACCCGCAGTCGTTCTTGTCAAGGTTGACGTATGTGTATATGATTGAGACAGACTTGGCCCTGAGCATCTCATGGGCCTACTGCGAATGGAATCAATCACGAAACACCGGAGATTGGAACACGAATGGTTAGTCCACAGGGAAGTGATTGGAACAAATTGCGCGATGAGCTTGTTGAACATGTTGTGGTTCCTTTTGCCCGCCTGCAAAAAGCCGGCTGGATACATGGGCATCTGCATGTTGAATAGAACCATTGAACAACACCCAGTCTCAACTGTGCGGAGCTGAAAGGCAATTCGAACTTCCTCTACTTTGGGAATTATCGCTTCAGATGGCAGTCCGCAGAGCTAGTTGGGGCGTTCCGGCAGGTTGTCAGCCTAGATGACATCCTCGGGGCTGACCTTGTGAACAAGGAGGCCATTGTGAAACAGCAACTTGGCACTTGGCGCGTGATGTCGATGTTTGTTTTTTTGCGACCTCAGTGTGGGAAGGCGTCCTCAACACAAGCAAGGAAGCAAACACGACATTGGTTTTGTTGTAAGATCCCTGGTCCAGTGCGATGCTGTGATGACGTGGCGAGCATGCGTGTGCTGTGCGATGCTAGAGAAATACCAACCGGCTCGTGTTGCGTCCATGAGGGTACAGCAGTAGACCTGGCTATGTTTTGTATTGTACATTTTTCCCGGCATGCAGCACTCTGCATGAGGATGCACATTCTCTACATAATATATATATATATATTATGTGCTTGGTTTGTACTATTATCTTTGAGGATTAAACATTCCTGCCCGAAGCTTCCGTACTCACGGGCAGCGGGGAAAGACTTTGGGGCCGTGGCACAGAACTCAAGATTTCGAGGCGAGGCATTTTAAGACCACTGCATGTGCGATCTTCATTTAGGGCCCTAGAGCAGCATATTGCTTGATCCACCAACATATAAGGAGCCGACAGCGTGGATGCGAGCCCCCCCAGCACTTCACTATGCTCGCAGCGCTTGACCATCACACTGACCGCGCTTGTTCTTTGTCGAGCTCTGTGTGGAACTGTATGTGTTTTCACGCAGTTGTAGGCAAATCATGTTGTGTTTGAACACAGGACTTGTTGCTCACGTATATGATGCGCGCACATCATTGGACTGATCACTTCTCAGTCTTGAGAATAGACATGGGTACTTGTCGAATCAGTTTTTGTCATTGACTCAGAAAAAGCCTTCGTTGCCACGCGACACAATGTTTCTGCTGACGATCAGGACGGGCCCTGAAGTTGCTCGCAGTGATCTTTATTCACTTTGATCATTCGTGTGTCTCTTTCTGCAGATGTAAGCTGAAGCTGAACAACCGTCGCCTGTTCCTGAATCCGACCCACGCTTACATAAATGGCGAAGGCTTTGATATCCTGGTTCAAATCAATCTTCCCAGACCAGAGTTGGGCAGCCATCATTTCCGCAACCCTTGAGGTCCCTCAGCAGGGAACGGATGAGAATGAATGATGGTGCGCATGGTTAAGCAGGTCGCCTGGTGGTTTGTCAATGCCTGATCCAGGCTGTCCAATGTTTGTAGCCAAGAGCATGTGAGGAACCTTTGCTTTCTTTGCACACAATTCGATCAGAACATACGGTCCGCGGTTCAGTTTGCGTGCCGATATCACAGCGGTAGGAGTCATGCATAATAGGCAGCCATTCGTGGAGACTCCTTACAGCATAATCTCATTTTACACTGTGCTGTTCCCCTTACTATTGTTGTCACCTTGGCAGCGGTACATTCAAGTTCACCCCTCACACCAGACACATTGTTTACAGTTTCTTTTTGTTCAGCAAATGTTCTGGTGAAGACAAATAACACCCTATTTGAGGGCAACGATCGAGCTATGTTGGCTTTCAGCAAAGTAAGTACGCTTCGGTAGTTCATCATCCAGCAAGCACCGGCCAATCTGCAGAGGATCCGATTATGTTTTTCCAGCTTCCAGCTGCTCGTACAAGTTGTTGCAAAGCCAGAATTTTGGTCCATTGGTTTCTATTAAACCTGTTTGTGGCATCATGAAGTCAGGATCAATGGGGCCCCTGTTTTGCGGGCACCCTTTTGAAGCTTGGTTCAGAATGGCATCAAAAGGAACACTATTCTTGCCTCCCCCCCCCCCCGTTTTTTGACACATGCCTAAATCCAGCCAGGGGCAGTGTAGTCCCATCCGATCTAGGCTGGGCGTGGGCAGCGACACCTTGGTGCGTTTATTGGGAGCGCTCACCACTCGCCGGGAGCACACGCCCGACACCGACGTGTGAGCTCGGCGGCCCTCGCGGCTCTCGCTGCTCTTTGTCGGGTTTCACTCACCGGCCCCGTTTGCAAGAAAGCCCTCGATCCCCTGAACATGGTTGTTGTTGGGAAATTTGTTTTCCCATTTTTGCTTATGGTGGTTTAGTGGTTGAAATCCAAGTTTCCACTTAACTGCTAAGATTTTTAAATTCTTGCTCCCCTTTCAACGTCAACCAAGTGAAAGGTTCCTAGAGGTTTGCATGGCCCTTGGATATCCTTTACCTTAGAGGTTCGAAGCTTGCCGGACGTATGCCGACATTGGGCTTGGAACGCTGCGATTTGTTTCATAGTTCCATCCCACCCTTTCCGTAGTGAGACAGATGATGTCTGACCTATAGCCTCAGCACTATGAACTAATCACTTGTTACCAGTATGGACGCGTCTACAATTGCTCACCGGGGAAATTCTGGTTTGCCAGGCCGGGCTTCCACCAATCAGACAATTGGCATTTGAGGTTTTTGATGCGACCCGTCAATTTAACTGGGCAGTCTAGCGCGCGAAGACCTGCGATGTGTGGTCGCATGGCTAGAGTAGTGTAATTATTCCTCATGTTTTTGGGGAATAATTACCGCCCAACCAAGAAATGCCACATTAGAAAACCACGTCCCCTTCTTTCTTGAGACGAGGCATGTGCTCAGGGCGGTAGCTTCGTTGGCCGCAGTGGAAGAAACTGCGGTGACACGGGCATCCTAAAAAGCTCGAGTCTTGCATGTCGGCCTTAAAGACGGCCTGAATAGCGCAGAGCTGCTCCCATTGCACAGGAAGACACAGAAGTCGGGTGATGGATGCGAGCATCCGCACTTTGTCTTAGCCTGACTGAACGCGGGGAAGCAGAAGAAACAGGAGACTTGTCACATTTTCCCGCATTCATTTGAAGCATGAACAAAGAATGTCCGCTGCATGCACGTGCCTTGATGTTGACTTCAAAGTACATGTTCTCTGGAATCACGGGTGTCAACTGGCATTGAAGCGTCATGATTCGGACATGGCAACACAGTACTGTGCATAATGTGTTTTCTACAGTATGGTCTGTGCAGGGTTGCTTGGGAGGCAATCATGGTATTTCCTGAATTCTTGGCGTGGATTCCTTCTTTTTTTCCGGGGCAGCTCACTGCTGTCATTTCGTCATGGTTCAATGATCCTGAGGCAGCAACTAGGGATATTCTTCAATGTCGGCCTTGTTGGGGCTTAGCGTGAGGGCCTTGCCAACAAGGCTCCATCCTCGTGAGCTCCAAGATCGTTTGGCTTCGGGAGCAGCCTTGTAGAGCGGCTCCATGATTTCTGCCCGGTGGCAAAGCCAAGCTTTGCCCAGGACAAATTCGCAGCCAGTTCTTTCGAGGCTCCACTCGTTTTATCCCCTGAGAAGTTCCAATTCCCATAAGTCCCTTAGTTTCCGAAACTTGAACATAATTTCCATAATTTCCAAGCTAGTTTCCCTAGTTTCCCTAGTTTCCAATCCCTACAACTGTTGCCTTTTCTCATGTTGAAACAGCGGCCCTCGAGAACTTGGCTCAGTCCTTCCGCCGCGGTGAAGTAGACGGTCGGAGGCGTTCAAGGACTACAAAAAGAGTTGATGGAACTTGCTGGTGCTGGGGAACAACTAAATAGCTTTCCGCACCTGATACTCCCCTCTCCACGACGTGGAGTTGCTCTTGCTTGATAGCAATTGGTATGTGCGTGTTTCTTATTACCAGGATTACTCTACTACTAATATGGCTTACCTCAATTATTGCCGTCTCACTTGGCAGAGGGTTTAGGCCATCCGTCGCTACCCATGCCACTGATAAAGGTCAGCCTAGACCCACCCCTGGGCTCTATCTATGACGAGAGCACAGAATTTAGTCGAAAGCATCGTTCAGGGCTACATGAGATGCAACAAGTGTCCTGAATGATGTTTACCAAACATGCCGCAAACAACGTTTGGCACTTGACTTGCATGTGCCGAGTTAAGCAAGGCATCCATCATATGTTATCAAGTCATGAGTCGGAGGCGGGTTGAGTGGGCGCGCGGTATTGAACACGTCACTTTCTGCCTAGAAGGCATGACCGGAGCGGGTTTCGCCCGCTCTGGGGCATAGGGGCGGGCAAAGCGTATGACTGCCATGTGCATCTCAAGAGGATTTCCGCGCGGCAGCGCCGGGCCGCAACGCGAGCGCGTAAAGATTTGGGCGTGACGTCCCTTGGCCTAGCTTTCGGTGGACGCCAGCGCCTCCGCTCAAGTTTGTTTAAGACGGCACCATATGTGAGTTTGCGTAAAATATAGGCGGCCCCTCCCAGAACTGCCATTGCTACGTCAACAAGCTGCTCACTTTACTCTAAACGAGTTGTTGGAAGTTGTTTGGGCAGACTGTGTGGCAGCACGCTCACTTTTTCCGCAACTCGGATGGCCAGGTTGAGACTGTTCTTGGCTCTCTTCTGGGCGAACGGTGGAGCGCCCAGAAGCCTTGCCCAACCCCAGTCACGGCAAGAATTGATTTTGAGTGGCGGGGTTGAAGCACTCAAGGTGCTTGGACATCAATATTTGGGCCTGTTAGTTGAATGTGTGCACGCGTGGAGCTGAGGATGTAACAACTTAATAGGCACAGCTTGTGTGTGCTGCCCAAGACAATCATGACCAAGCTTGTCATTGGTGCTTGGACACCCAAGCAAACCAAGCGTTGATAAACGCAACTAATTGGCATACACTGAAGTAGCATGAGTGACGAAGTATGGTCTGTGAGTAGGACCCGTTCAGGAGCTGCGAATGAAACCGTGGATCGCAAAGATCACTTTCATGTCAAAATGTTATGGAGGTAGTCAGCGAGCAATATGGTCGAATCAGGGTTGCGGGGCCGTTGCACAGACCCCGACGAACTAACACATTGCGGTTGTTGCACCGCTGATTGGACACGTAGTCAACCGTGTCCGTGTTTGCCAAGCAGGCATCCGGTTGTAACGGTTTTTGTGCGTGTGTACTCGTCATCGTATGAGCTATTTTGAGCAACCAAGATGCCAAGGAGACCACCTTCACGGAGCGTACATGTATTATGCCAACTCGCTTACACACACAGCCATAGAGCAGAAGAGGTCCGCCAAAGCAACTGCTGAATCTGGTTTCACTTCAAATCAATCGCACAGGCCACTCACCTAGAAGAGTAGTAGGACCTTGACCAGGAGTTTCTTTCCTTGTGTCTTCAACTGAGCCCGGAAGGTTTTGACCTGTGGGTTTCATCCATTCAAATCTAGCTACCAGGTCCCGCATCCCGCAGTCGCTCGGGCCAAGCGAGTCGCCTCGGGAAGGTCGACGGTGTCGCTCTTCGTCTTTGGCGAGGCCGGTGAGAGCAAGGGCTCAGAGTTGGTTACAACCAGTTGTTTAAAGAAACGGCCAAAAGCAGTTGTTTAAAGAAACAACCAGCAACAGTTCTTTAAAGAAACAGCCAACAACAGGTGATTTGAACTGTGGCTTGAGAACTTGACAAGGAGTTGGGCCAAACCTTCTTCCTTGGAATCCATTCCATCCTTTCTTGTGCGTCGCCTGCGAAGGCTGTCGGGGGTGAACTCGCGTCACCATTTTGAGCCGGCCCCACACGGGTTCTGATGAATGAAGTGGGTCAGGTTTCTTCTTGCTAATGGGCTGTGGAACCTAAGAGTTTGACGTTTTGCCTTTGTTGTTTCATTAAGGGTCATGGGTTGAAGTATCCTTGAGTTCAACCCTCACTCGATGTCTGGACAATGCATACACACACACACGCGCCCCAACGAGGAGGAACACGAATGGAAATGTCGATCGCACATGTATCCCGGCACTAGCCGTGCACTTGTCGTCGCTCTCAGTCATAAGAGGTGGACCATGTGACTGCGCAACCCCCATCAATTGAGCCCAGCTGACGTACGTCCCTTGGCCCCTTGATCAACAATTCGAGAACGCTTCAATGGCATGACATAGCGCTTGACTTACGCGTTTGATAGCGACCGTTTGGTGTTGGAGATTCTGTGTTGCAGTGTAAATGCAATGACCATTGCCTTTGTCCACCATATGTGGTCTGCCTGGTGGCAGGTGGGTAGCGGCAAGCAGCTACTTTGATGCGATGAGGAACTCTTGCAATATCAAGCCTGTTGTGTGCGTCACTGATGGGCAAACAAATTGGTGGAGACGCCCTTTTGCGGGAATGTTGTTGCTATTCCGAAGCAGGCTGCACGTGAAGAACACACGTTTTTCGTTGTTTCTTGATGCGCACCATCGTATCATTGCCTTCAACAAAGCCCGTAGGCGTGCTGAGCATCGCGCTGAACATCCGCTTGCATTGAAGAAGCACCTCAGCAGTTGGTATAAGCTAAATCTGCTGCTGGATTGCAATGTCAGGCCCCATAATCTGCTGCAGCACAGGTAGCTAGATATCGCTCAATCGCTCATCTATGAGGCTCTGCGCCCATGAAGCTCGCGCTCTGATCCAACCAGCCCCTTGTAGCCTTTTGCAAGCACCACATGTATGCCTGAATAGAACGGTGTTTGCTTTGATGATTTTGTGGTAGCGGATGTGTGATGTGGCCCCCCCCAACTCCAATGAATATCTATCCTTTCATTTGAGCCACTACAATCACCATTCTGAGTCGTTTCCCTGTCCCCGCTCTTTTGGCCGCCTGCTTGTCCTCTGGGCTTGGACCAACGCACCGACCTTGCTGAAAACATCTGGCACTGTTTGACTGTTTTTTTGGCACTGATGAATGTACACCGGCTTTTGTTGAAAATCGTTGGGTGATTACCCTTCCTTTGTTGGGTCACACGTGTTTGTTTCATACATGTTGTTCTGTATATATACATATATATATATATACATCCCAGCACTTCCCACGCCAGGCCATCGAGCACGCAGCGCCCAGCTGCGAGCGGGAGATGTGCCGCTTGGCGACCGAGCTCGGCCTGGGGGCCCAGCGCTGGAAGAGCCCTACGCGACCCTGTGGCTTTGGCTTTTGGCTTTCCGCAAGTTGATCTTCCATTTGATTAAGAATATTCGTTATTTTCCCTTGTTGGTTTTAAAGGGAACCAAGGACTACTGGATTTGTGTTTCTTCTTTTTTTTAAATATATTTTTCCAGGGGGCTCAAGCAAATGATGGAAGTGATCCAAGTGCAGCTTTGGGTGCGCTAATCCTTGGCAGTTACTTTAGGGAGAAAACATAAAACCATGATGCGTCAAGGGATTGAGGCCAGTTTTCCTTTTGGATGGGATTCAATTGAGTCTGCCTTCTAGCGGAGCACACTTCCCCATGCACAAAGGGTGCCCGACGGATAAACAAAACCTGTCTCTCAAATGGTGTGACTCCTGCATCTGCAATACATGTAATGGGCTCGACGTCGAGCCAAGGCTGTAGTGAGGGTTTGAAGGGCTTGGCAAGAGCTTCTTGGCAACTCACTTGGTCAAGCCACTGACAGCATTGTGCTTTGTGCTGTTGGAAGGGGCTGATCCGCAGAGGTTTTATGCTACTACAATACCTTATGTCTAACCCCCATGCGCGAATCCCTTGCAGTTGTTTGCGTTTCATGCGGTGTACTTGTTCTAGTTGTGGTTCTATCATGAGGAAGCTCCTCACCATCAATGACATCACTCAAACAGTGAGCGACATGCTTACAAGCAAGCATATAT